GAGTACAGTAGTAGGGGTAGATGTTGAGCAGGTGGGCAGCTCAAGGCGCTCTGTAAAATATACGGAGTACACATTGATTATCCATAAAAAAATGAAGGAACATGAAGAAGGAAAGAGTGAAGGAGGGAAGAAAGAGGAGGAAGGGGGAAGGAAGAAAAAAAGGTGGAACGAATGAAGTGAAGAGAAGAAGGAAGGAAAGAGAGCATGGAAGGTAAGGGAACAGGAAGGGAGAGGAAGGAAATCACGGAACCTGGAGCCCAACCGTTCAGCCATCAGAGGAAGCTGAGGCAGGGTTTTGATGGTGGGCTTATTTCTGCCTTGCTTTCTGTCTCAGCTTCTTTGGAATGACCCTTATTCATGGTGATAGCGATTCTGCCTGCGAGACTGCTGCCGCTGAGAAGTCTGAGCCCTCAAGGTGTCCGAGGTGAGGCAGGCCCCACAGTGATCAGAATTCACGCCTTCAGAACAGACCAGACCAGAAGTTGCCTCCCATTTGAGATGGCCCTGGCTTATGCTGAGCTCCCTGCGATGCAGTGAGGACTGGGTGGGGGTCCCAGCCAGCATCCCTGTGACAGAAAAACTAGGTGTGTCCTTGTCTCTCCTGTTTCCCAAGTACTCTGAGAAGATGGTAGCTGGGGCAGGAATGCACGGCCATCCAGTCTACCAGCGCTGGGCGCCGCATGTCACATAGTCAGGAAGACAGTCTCAGCTCTCTGTAAGACGTCAGTCCGGTGGGGCTGCCTCGGGTCACCACGACTTCCAAGTGGTCTTCCTACTGGAAGCAGAAAAGGAGCAAATACAGGATTCCCCTGGACCTTGATGCAGCACTGCCTCTGGTGGTAGGGATGAGCACGGTGTGTGAGAGATGGTAGAGAGATGAATCTGTTTCTGGTGCTCTTGCCAAAGGGAATCTGGCAAGAACATCTTTAGCATACCTTGTAGTGCAGTTCTGCTGGCTGCAAATTCTCTCACTTACACATTATATGAAAATGTCCTTATTTCACCCTCATTTTTAGAGGATATTCTCCTCCCCTCCCTTGTGGTCCCCAAGCAACCATTCATTGCTTTCTATCACATATATAGGTTTGTATTTCTATAATTTCAGGTAAATGGAAACATGTAGTATTCTCTCTCTTTTGGTCTAGCTTCTTTAAATCAGCACCATAGAGATCCATCCATGTTACGTGTGCATCAATAGTTCATCCCTATATTAGTAATGTTTTGTTGCATGGCTATGTCACATTTTATTTATCTATTCACCTGTTCGTGGACCTTTGGGAGGTTTCTATTTTTTGCTATTACCAGTAAAGCTGCTGTGAATATTTGTATGTAGGTCTGCATGGACACATGCTGTATTTTCTCTCAGGTCAATACCTAGAAGTGGCATGCTGCATCATGTGGTAGGTGAATGTTTACATTTCTGCTGACCTGCTCAACTGTTCCCAGTGTGGCTGTACCATTTTACGTTTCCACCAACGGTGATGAAATCAGGGCTACACAATTAAATAAGGCCCTACTTGCTTCCCACTTTCCCATCCTTCAGCTATTATTACTCTAAACAGCGACAAACTGAATTCAAAGTCATGGAACATGGACCTTACTATGTGGGCAAGGAGGAATCACTAAAGTTTTTGTAGAAGTGGGCTCGGAGAATTGTTGCTTAGCAGAGAGTTCTGTGGCCTAGGGAACTTCGGACATAGTCTGGAAAGGGTACTCTATGGCCACGGGTAGGTATTTGCCTTGATTTAGAGGGTCAAAGGTGACCAGATGGGACCCTCTAAAGTCTGGGGTTCAGGACAGCACCCCTCATGCCCAGGTCCAAGGGCAGTACAATTTCACTTTCTTCTAGTTTGTCCAAATTCTAACCGTCTTTAAAAGCCCATCATAAGTCCTCACTCCTCCGGGGTCTCTCATCGCTGGAGCGCTTCTGGGTATCTCCTCAGTTGTTCGGTATTTGCCTTTCTCTGTATGTCTCACTTTCCCACTTTGTCCATCAGCTTTTGGGTCAACCACTCTACTCTCTCTCCTTCATATGTCTAACGAAGTATTATGAATGTAATAGTTGTTCAGATTTGGTGAATGAATGATTGAAGCACTGCATGTAGTTTGTTGTTTTTTTTTAGCTCCTAGATTATAGGGTTAGTCTTCAGAAATTGTTCCACATACCTTTACATTTACACATATAGACGCTAGTGCACAGCTATTAATTCACTGCCCAAGTGCCACTCTGTCATCCTTTGCTAAGCATTCATCCCAAACTCTGTACTTACACTTATATTTTACTAGTTCAGAGTAAATTTTGACTTTTTTCTGATCTCATCATTCTATTTTTTAGACTACATCCCTGCTAACCATATAAAATGACCTAGAATTAAAGGGGTTTCTGATTTTTCCCAGCATGGGCTTTATTTCTCTCACATAGCTCACTAGAGACCTTGATCATAAACATTTCCTAAGTGAGTCATGTCTCGGTGTATTTGTATATGCTGATCCTCCTTCCTGAAATGTTCTCTTTCTTCTCCATCTAGCTGATCTCCTACTAGAGTCTTTCAAAACTCAGTGACGGCAGCGTCTCTTCTCTTTGCAAGAGATCCAACATGACATTTCCTACCTCTGTGTTCTTTTGTTTCATGTGTGTAACATAATGATTTGATATTTGTATATATTGTGAAATGATCACAAGTCTGATTTATATCCATCACTACACATAGTTTGATTTTTTGCTTTTCATGAGAATTTTTAATATCTACTCTCTTAGCAACTTTCAAACATGCAATGCAGTATTATTAACTGTAGTGACCAGGCTGTACATTACATCTCCACGACTTACTTGTTTCATACATGGACACTTAACACCTTTTGATTCCCTTCACCCTTTTTGCCAGTCCCTGGCCCCACCTCTGGAAACCACCAACCTGTTCTCTGTATCTTTGAGTTCAGTTGTTTTTTTGGTTTTTAGATTCCACATGTAAGTGAGATTATATGGTATTTGTCTTTCTCTGTTTGACTTATTTCACTTAGCATAATGCCCTGAAGACCCATCCATGTTGTTAAAAATGCCAAGACTTCCTTCTTTTTTATGGCTGAGCAATATTCCTTTCTCATGGTAGGTACATCCCTGTAAACCTCTCTCATCATAGTTAAGACACTGGCACTGTGGTTATTGATTTACTTGCCTGCTGTCCCATGTGCAGGTAAGAACCATGTCCCATTTGACTTTGTATTTCAGCAGCTTACTCGATGCTGGTGCCCTGTCATGTTCAGATCACTGGTTAATGAATCAGTAAGTTAATGACTGAATGCAGTGCCCCTTCTTATTCATCTCTTGCATTCTGTGCTGTTTTTCTCTCTCTCTCTCTTACTTTTGTTTTGTTTCTGCTCTTCTTCCAGTGTGACTAAATTTCTACATTATAGAAATAATATAAGCTTTGTGGCCTTTAATGATTTTTCTTCTATCTACAGATGCTGGAAAATAAATTTTGAACCTTAGCAAACAAACTGAAAAAGTTTAAACATTTGTGGGTGGATTTGGCAATGGAAGGAAGATTCCTTTGGGGTTTGTTATTAGGATGGGCACTCAGTGAGGTTAGCATTCTTTGCTTAGGAACGAGAAGGCTCTGGACAGATCTGCTCTGTCCTAAGGCAACACAAATCCTATTCCGTCACACTGACGCGTCAGGTAGCTGACCTTCCTCAAGTCTGGAGGTCTTGTTAGATGTCCTTTGTGGAAACCAAAGCACTGTTAACTTCCAAGCTTGGGTTAGCCTGGATACATTTTATAGAGACACTATGAAATAATAAAGTTCCTAACACACTGGCCAGTAGTTGTAGGTGCTAATAAATACCAGTCTCTAGTTCTCTTCCTCCTTATCAAGCTTCCTAAAGTTTCCAAAAGCTCTAGGTTTACTTGAAATTTCTCTGAGAATCAAAGAGTCATGGATAAAGAATAGGTCCAGATAATGTGTGCCAATCACCAGACACACAGATCTTCCCTTCAGATTCTGGTAAATTCTCCTCTTTGGCACTGAGGCTTCCTTTGAGAAGGAAATGCTTTTAACTGCACTCCAGTGCCTGATTATAGAGAATGTTCTACATGAACTTCCTGAAGGCTGTCATACTCCTCCCATGTAGTCAGGGACAATCCACTGGCCGAAATCCTCATTAAGATCTCTTTCCTGGGATCATTGCAGGGCGCTGTCTGTTCCTCCCTTTGCTTGAGGAGGCACAGCAGACTGTGTAGCGGCGGTAGGGAGCCTTAGCTGGTATTCCAGCAGTGTAATAGACCAGCATAAATGGGAACTAACTCAAGAGCCAGAAGCCAGTTTATCTACCTTAAGATTCTTAGCAGAAACTTTCCAATCCCAGTCTGAGTCTAATTACAGTGGCAGTAATTAATCTGGTGTACCCTTGTGATACCTTGCTGTAATATTAAATAGATGTTAATGTATAGAAGTTTTGAAAAAAAAATATAAAGTTGATGGAAAAAATAGCTGTAGTGCTTAATTTCCTTACTTGAAAAATAAGTCCCTTTTAAAACTTTAGATTCATCTTTGTGAAATAGAATGTAGCTCAATTTTCATTTAACAATTATATCATAGCCTGCAGATAGAGACTTTCCTTGTTGTTTGCACACAACTGCTATTATTTGTAACAACAGAAGTTGCTTGTGGAGAAGCTTATGCCTCTAAGCATTTGAGAGGGAAATGGAATTAAGGTCAATAACCCTACAATGTCTAAATGTACCAAGCCTATTTTCTAGAACTCCTCTTGCCTAAGGAAATGAAAGAGGAATTGTTTCCTTCCAAACCCTTACAAGCTTGTGGAAGGTGGGGCTGCATTTACTAGGCCCCTTTCCTTGCGTCTTTGCTGTCAGAAGTCCTGGAAACCTGGACCCGCGGACAAGTCTATCGACTCTGTATTGGTGGGTAGTGGTTTGTTTTGAGAGTTTCAAAAAAAAAAGAAAAAACTCACTTAAATCATTTTTTTCTTTATCTTTTTAGGAGCATCTAAAGGCCATTGATGATGAAATCAATTTATTTTTGGATAATATGTTTGGACCTCGAGGTGAGTGAGCTACTCGGGAACCTAATGTGGAAGGAATGCAAGTTAGTTACAGACGCAGATCATGTCATGTCATTTCTGGTGTTATGAAAATAGATGGTGCTTCACTTCTAGAGGCTTAACTGCCCTCACCTTTGATACCCTTCTCCCAGAACATCCAGAAGGCCTAGTTTCTCCTGCTCATCCTCTCCTGGGATTAAAATTCTAGGAGCAGGAAGCAGAAGAAAGGCCACGAAATACTTTCCTCCCTGTGTCTCTGACGACCAAAGCAGGTTGTGGCTTTCCTTCTAAACTTGGCTACTTTCTTCTGTTCTCTCTCTGCCACCCTTTCACCGTGCACCTTCCCCACCTGAGCAACCACACAGTCTTCCTGCCTCGCTCATCCCTGTGTGTGAGCACCTCTGCACAGCCATCAGGTTGAGTTTGTAAGGGCATCGCCACGCACTTCGCTGACCAGCCTCCCCTCCCCCAGGCATGCCCTCTTCCAGTCATTTATTAAGTATCAGCATGAATAACATTTTTAAAACCTAAACAATACTGTGTGGTGCTCTAGCTTAAAACTCGCGGATGCCTTCCCAAGGCCCTTAGGATAAAAGTCAGATGGCCAGCATTGCCTCTGTGGTGTCTGGCCCCAGCTGCCTCTGCACCCGCAGTGCATTCTCCCTCCCTCCCTGATACAGCCACTCTTGACAGCTTGTACTTCCACAGTTACGAAACTTCTTAATGTGCTGTTCCTCCAACCAGGAACGCCTCCCCACAGTCTCCAGCCCGCCGCCCAATGTCGTCAGCTCCTCACTGTTCAGGTGACCGTTGCCTCCTCGGACTGGCTTCCCCTAACAAGGGTGGAAGGGAATCGGCCCCTCTTAAGGCAGCCCCTCGTTCTTCTCTATTTCAGCCCCTGTGTATTTCCCTCATAGGCTTTATTGTTATTAATAGTTCTTCCTCCCAGGAGGACAGGAGCCATGACTGTTGTCTCCAGTGCTTTTTATAGGTCCAGAAACGTCACAGGCACTATATGTTTTGCAAATAAATGAATACATCTAAGTAGCCGGTTTTGTTTCACTTGAGCCTTGCTGGTTCACAAAGGTGTGGAAAACCCACAGTTCTCTACAAATTCATTCCCCAGCCCTGCTGGGAGGCCGAGGAGGGAAATGAGGAGGTCTTCCTGTTCCTCATAATCTTCAAACAGAATCCTTAGAGATTATACTATTCCAGTTTCTATACAGGCACCATAAAGTATTTAAATGACTATTGATACAGTTTTAATATAGTAATACTCTGTGGTTGTTTGGGGCCCCCACAGGTTTCTTCTTTTGAACTATAACCCAAATCCAACGAACCTAATGTTGTGTCATAGTGTTCCCCACTGTATTTGGTATGTACAAATAAAATATGTGCAGTATATCTTAAATGCTCTCATCACAAGGAAAAATTGTTTTTAACTATGTAAGGTGGATGTTACATGGATGTTAACTAGACTTACTGTGGGATCATTTTGTAGTGTATACAAATATCAAATCATGTTATACACCTGAAACTGATATAATGTACAGTTTGTATCTCAATAAAAAAGCAAAACTAAAAAAAAACCTAAAAAGTGTTTTACAATATCGTATAACTGAACAGAAGTGTAACTTTTCAAGATTCTCAGTATATGTGTTTCTTTTCAGATTCTCGAGTCAGAGGATGGTTCATGTTGGACTCTTACCTTCCTACCTTTTTTCTTACTGTCATCTACCTGCTTTCAGTATGGCTGGGTAACAAGTATATGAAGCACAGAGATGCTCTTTCCCTCAAGGGCATCCTCACCTTGTATAATATAGGGATCACACTTCTCTCCATATATATGCTGGCAGAGGTAAGCCTTTATGTAGCTAAAGCTGGATTCCAGCGACTGAGTGATTTCTGGAAACAGTTAGTTAAATCTAGAGTACCAGGACTACCCAAGGCCGCTATCGGTACCATTCCTTATGATCTCAGGAACTTGTTCCTGCATTTGGCATTGCTGCTCTGGAACTCCTGGAAGTCTTTATTTCTAACTTGAAATTTTCTCACCCCCAATTTAGGCCTATTTCTTTAGTCCTTAGTCTTACATTGCAATTTAAAGTCACGATTTAGATCTGCATGGGCCTTTAAACCTCACGTTACCATTTTCTCCTTTTACAGGTTATGATACTGAGGCTTAGAAAAGTTGCATGATTTGCCTGAGAACAGACAGCTTTGAGTAACAGTATTTCTTAACTGAAATGTCACATGCAGTTAGTCTGACTAAAATGTGTCCCTTAAAGAATACTCCCCACATCCTTGGACCGCCATGACAACGCCACGTTGTTTCTCGGGGTAGACTTTGACAGTCCTGCTCAGGCTGGCTCCAGCTGCCTCATTCCCCAGTGCACTCCCAGTGCTTTATAAAGTGCCAAACTCAAGGTACTTTACAAGAAAAAGAGCAAATAATGATTGCACTCCCCGTATAGCCTAAGGTTATTATAATGTAATACAAAGGAGAACCTAAGGCTGCTAAACAAACCTGTTTTAGCAAGCAGCCCCAGAGAGAGAAAGGGAGAGAGGACAAAAACTTAACAAACCTTTTAAGGAAAAAGGGTAAAATCATTCATATGAATTAGACATGGCTGATAATGGCCCATGTAGAGCTGCCTTCCTGGTGTCCTTGAATTCTAAAAGAGAGGAAATCCTTGGTCCTCTGTCCCATAGGGTTTAACCTGTAACATTCTAGTTTGTATCACTCATAATGCTTAATAACCATTACCTTAAATGACTGTAATGAAACTCTTCAGAGTGGAACTGTAGGCATGGGTAAAGGTGCAGGAAATGGGACTAGGGTTAGAAAGGCCATGCTGCCTGCTCTGAGACCCGATCACACAGGCGCTCACTAATGTACCTCACTCTGAAAGGGCAATTTCTATCTAAGTTCCTCTACTAGATAAATTCTAGTTCACTAGAGGAGCTTGCAAGATAGTAACTGACAGGGTTAGTTTCTCTTTATAACAAAGGGAAAGATACTGTCCCTCGGACGGTTTTCATAAGCAGCAGCTGCACCCCAGGGGCCGGCCTGGATGGCTGACTGCATTTGGTGTCGTGGAGTCAGAAGATCCAAATCGAGGGTCAGCTTCGTGGCTTCCTCCGTGGTTTAGGAGGCGTTACTGAGGCTCTCTGAACCTTAGGCAACTGCTAAGATGGAGTGTGGTATATGTCCTGCTTACCTCAGGAGTGAGCTTTGAGGATTACCAGTTCCGCTCCACCAACGTTCAGTGAGCACCTACTAGGCGCTGTGGGCTGTACTGAGCCCAGGGTTACAAAGATGGGTAAGACATGATTTCTTTACTTGAAGCCCTCCCAGACTAGCACATGAAAGGAGGTAGTAAATACGAAAAGGCTTGGTAAGTTTTAGCACATATTAGTCACTATCAACAGCAACAAGGTCAACCAAGGAAACAGTTTCTGTCTTTTTCAGGGAGAAAGTCTGAGCTCATTCCTATGATGAATTTTATCTACTGCTTATCTTGCCTCTTGCTTTTCTATCTTGGGTCGAAATTACTGCCACTGAGTGCCTCCTAGCCTCCCCTGATTGTAACCTTGTTCAGGAGAGGTATAAGGTCTATTCTTTGACACTTCCTGGGTATGTTTAATAGACCTACTGGGGTGAGAGTTTGATTTAACCTTGCTAACTTACTGCGCGCAGGTCAGATGTTTGCTTAGGCCAGAAGTTACTGACAAATTTATTAGCATTCTTTTAACAAATATGTGTTGAGCTCCTACACTGTATCAGATTCCATTCTAGAACACCCCTTTGGTCTGTACAGCAGTGAGTGATGGGCTAATGGTAAGGAAGGAAGGCCTCTCTGAGGATGTGATGTTAGAGCTGAGACTGAATGATGGAAATAAGCCAGACATATAAAGCCTGGGGAGAGGGGGTTCATGCGGATGGGGCAGCAAGTGTAAAGGCTTGAGGCAGGAACAGGCTTGGGGTGTTTGAGGACCATAAGAGCAGCAGAGCAGCTGGCACAGAGTGAACAGAGGAGAGCTTGATTCCAGATGAGGAGAGGTGGCCGCTCACAGAGAGCCTTGTAAGGAATTTGGCTTTTACTCTGCGTATAACGGGAAGCCACTGGAGGACTCTGACAAGGGGAGTGATGTGGTCTGTTTTAAAGAGATCACTCTGACCCATGGAATATGAACTGTGAGAGGAGCCAGGGGAGCAAGAGTGGAGCAGAGACCAGTTAGGAGACATCACAGTGCCGCAGCCAACAGGCGCCCAGCCTGGACGAAGGTGCAGAAATGGCAAGGAGCTGATGGATTGTAGACATACTTGGGAGTGAGCTAGCCCACACTGCCTTGAGGTTGACTCTGTTTGACAGGCTTTTTCTTCAACACACATGTAGTATGGCTCCTGCAAACCACACCGGAGAGGGATTAGGAGTGGGTCGGAGAGGGCCTCCTGAAGCGTGCCTCCTTAGTGCTGTTACTCATTTTTAAACAGGTAGTTCTAAACATTCTAATTGTTTTTTACTAGTTCATCTCTTTTTAATGTTGAGTTTATTCATCCCTCCCCACTCTGTATATGTATTCCGATAGAGCTATACATTTCCAAGTCCTGGTAAACAGCTCAAATAGTGGGCTTCAGCATACCTTATGTAACAGATGTTACTAGACTTAATGTGGTGATCATTTTACAATATATTTTTATTGTGAAATTTGCTAAACTTGTCAGATGCATCCAGAGATATTTTTCCCATCCAGAGATGATGATTTTCATTTAGCCTTTCTAGCTTCCAGAAGTTCAAAGATTAAAAATTTTTCCAGAAATGAAGTTTGTTGATGAAAGGGAAATGCCTTAGGTAAATCAAAGCCAAATGCCTTATACTCCAGAATTTTAGTTTCTGCAGTAATAGTGGGCAAGAAGGCAGAAAACTTCTTTGGTAGAATTTTTGACTAAAATGAAAAAGCTCATTTCCTTATGAGAATGTGGAGAGAACACTAGTCAAGGAATTAGAACATCTGAATTCCAGTCATTGTTCTCGTTTCTGGCCGTAAAATCTTGAGCAAGACCATTTACTCAGCACTTATTTATTGATGCCAGGCATTGGGCAAGGAATTGTAGATACAGAAATGAGCAAAAAAGAAAACATAGATTTTATAGAGCTTCTTGGTTTTGAGCATTATGGTGCATATAGTATACAGACATTAATCAGTTATAATCTCACAGATGATTGATTACCAAGCAGTATTAATATGATGATGAATATGATTTCAGAACCTTTCTGAGCCTGGTTTTCATATCTGTAAAATGATACTAAATATGTTTTTCATTAAATTAAATTATTGACATGAGATATTTATATGTAAGTCATATGAATACTATTAAAATTTTGGTGTATTTTCCTCACAGTTTTTTACATTTAATTAATTTTGCCATTTTATTTGTAGAAACATATGACTAAGTAATTCCCTACATAAAATATCTTGTTACTCAGATGGTAACTAAATTCTCTTTGGTCTGGTGTAAAGATTAGAAGTAAATTATACTAATTAAGGGATATAAGCATTCATATTAGCTTGACAGCATATCCTTTGATATGGGTGTTTGAGGACAGGACGGAGTCATACTCAGATTCTGGGAAGTTTCTGCTCAAACCTTGAATAGTTGCCAATCAGAGACATGAATAGGAAATTGTTTTTGTCCAAATTCTTACCTGGATTTTCCCCCCTTTCTTGTTTCTTTGGCAGCTTATTCTGTCCAGCTGGGAAGGAGGCTACAACTTACAGTGTCAAGATCTTACCAGCGCAGGGGAAGCTGATACCCGGGTGAGCCATGAGAAGCAAATTGACCATCTGTACCCATTTGTCACTGAAGAGGAGAGAAGGCTTTCTCCTTTCAGATACAAGGATGGGGCTGAGATCAGGGAAGAAGGGGAGTCCTGTTAGGAATGCTTGGTAACAAAATGTTTCCCAACTGTCCAACTGTGGGGACTTACTGAATACACCATGGCGCGTCCATGTGATGGACCCTGTGCAGGATGGAATGAGAAGGCTTCTGCACTGTTACAGAATGATCTCAGGATATTGCGCAGGGAAAGGAAACAGCGTACAGACTGCTCATAGTTAGTACCTTGTGGGCAAGAAATGATAAGAATGTGTATATGCATATATTTGCTTATGTTTTTACAAAGAGAAACAATGGCAGAAAAAAACAAAAGCTACCAAAATGGTTTCCTTCTGGAGGAGGGAACAGGGCACAGGGGGCAGGGATGGCAATTATTCTCTGAATATAAATGTAACCTGGTGTTATATTTGATTTGGGAGCCATTACATGTTTTAGAAAATTATGAAGCAAAATTAAAAAGAAAGCAAGGCAACCTCCCACCACAAACTTGGAAACAAACTAAAATAAATGAATATGCCCGTATATTAAGTTGGTGACATAATCACCCAAAGAATTATTTCAAATGAATTCAAAACAGTACATTGACTGAACATCCCTAATGGGATACACCTTAACAGTATTCAGTAACTTTTTGGTTGCTATTAATAAAAATATTGGTATTGCCTCTTTGAGACTGTTACAGGTACACTGTAGAATAAAGTATATAATATTAATATTATTACAAGTATTTGAAACATAGAAAAAAGATACAATTAAAAATGTTAAACTAAACCTAGTACTCATAGATTCAAATTGGAAATAACAGAATTAAATTGATTCTTACTAAAAACAAACATTTTTTAGTCCACGGAAAAGGCCTAGTTTATAACAACTCAGTACAATGAGCAATGAATAACCAGATTGCTCTCTCTCAATGTCATTTCCCACCAGAAGAGATTAGGGTTCTTTGAGAATTGGCCAAGTCCTGGTTTAGGTGGGAAATGTTTACAAGAAGAGTCCAAGACACCTTGTGACAGATAGCAAGGAAGCTCTCCAAGATTACTAGGGTCATGACAAAAAAGATACAGAGGCCAGCTTGAAAGGATTCCCATTGCTCAAGATGGGATGATGTGAATGTCTAAAAGAATATGGCCTGGAATGGATTGAAATAAATTTATAAAAAAACATGAGTTTAAAATGACACTAAAATAAAGCCTCATTGTTACTTTTTGAAATTGTTAGAATAGCAATTCATTCTAGGAAAAATAAAATTACAGAGAAAGAAATATCTTGCCTTTCATATGTAAATTTCCAAATAGATTAAGAATTCTTCTCTATAAAGGAGAAAAATGGGTAAGTAACAAGAGAATTAGGAAATCACCTTTTGAGACTCCTAATGAAATACTGGGTCTATTCAGCAGTCATTGGTAACTGATCAAACTACTGGGTGAAAGCTGAATGGGGACTTCACAGCGATTGGATTAAGCTGTTACACCTGAATTCACTGTTGATGAACATTGGTGGAACCAAAAATTATGTACCTCCTGATGTTATGTAATAGGAAATACACAGAACTGCCTAGGAAGTATTCATGCCAAAGACCTTAGGCCTGAATCCAGTTTAGTCTCTAAATCTAATTGCCAGCTATTGAAAGTGTGTAGATAGAGAAACAAGTTAAATAACACTAGGAGGAAACAAGTCATTCAAATCCATAATATTAGGAATTCTATATAACTGATCTTTTTTTTTTTAAGAAATAAAAAGGAGAAGAGCAAGAAAAGGGAAATGTTAATGATTAGAAATTACTTTGGAACCACATCAAACAAATACAAGCTGGACTTTGTTTGGACCTTGATTTAAACAAATCAATTATAAGACATTTTTTAGTCAGGGAGATTTAAACATGGATAAGGCTGTTAGAAGATATTCAGGAGTCATCCCTTTGATAAGATTATGACATGGTTGGTATGTTAAAAAATATACCTATTCATTAGTAGTTTTTATAGATAAAATATACTTTGGATTTGCTTAATCTGCTTTGCTTCCCCCATACACACACTGAAAAATGGTAGAAAATAGAATTGATTCAACAAATTGGATTTTTACTGAAAATCAAGTTCAGTGATAAATATCATAGGGTTCATTATACTTGTTCTCCCAAGCATTTGTGAATGTTGGAAAATTGCCATAATAAGAAACATTGCTTAATTATGAGAGGTGATTGAAACCTTTTAATTAGAATCTTTGTCTGATGTATATTTTTAAAACATCTCCAAAGCTATAATACAAGAAAGTAAAATATATGGATCTCTCTACACCCATTTTATTTCTAATGTATTATCACAGACCACAATTTGGGATACCATACAATTCTTTAAAGGTCATTGTTGTTATATTTATTTATGGTTTAAAATTTTTGATGGTTAGGATGGATGCTGCCGTTCCTTATGATTATCTTCCTGGGAAGTGGACAGTAGACAGAGCATGGTATCTAATTTCAAAGTCCCTATTATACATTGTCTCCTTGTAGGTGTAAAGGTTAGTGCTAAAAACACAGTGCACAGTGCCTTGAGCTAAAGTGCTTCCCTGTAGATGAGACTGTATGGGAGACTCCGAGAGCAAGGAAGGGGGAACTGTGACCTTACTCCTTCAGTGCGAAAGAAGAGCATCTTGAATTTTAATCTTTTCTTCTGAGAAGGAGACATGGAAGAAGTAGTCATGGGCTACTCGTGGGTAGTATGATGTGTAAGAGACAAAACATATGTACATCAGAGGAATAGAGAGAAATCACCATCTAGTGGAACGAACAGTAGGTGATCTGTTGAGTGCCAGGCACTGAGCAAAGGTAAGACAGTCTGCCTTGAGTGATTCACAATCTGTTGGAAAAGAGAGATTCATAACACTGACCCATGGATTTGTTTATGGTTAGTAGAAGCATAAATAATCTGGAACACAAATGAAGAAGCAGTTGATTCAGCCTGAGAGAAAAAGGGTTAGGTTAGGAAGTGTTCCCAGGAAAAGGTGGCATTTAAGAGTAGCAATAAAGGGTAACTAGGAAGATGCCAGATACGAAGTAGGAAAGGAGTGTCCGATGCAGAGAGAAGAGTATTAAGAGGCACAGCACACAGAAGGTAGCTAGTGCTCGGGGAACAGTAGGCAGATCACTTTCATAGCATCCAGTGGTGTGCTTGGCAGGGAAGGAGGAGGTACCAGCCAGGGCATGCCCGGGGAAGGCCCTGTGTGATCAGGGGATTGTGGTCTTGACCCTGTAGGTGCAGAGTAACTTCATCAGATACATATTTCAGAAAGGTGTAACTCATTCTCACTAGGGTGGGGTGGATTCCTGGGAATGAGAAACAGGAGGCATGGGAGATGCTTTCTTAGTAGTGGGGGAGACGCACACCAGTGGGATGCAGGCATCCAGCGGTCGCTGAGAGCCAGGCAGCCTGAGGGGCACCACCATCGCTCACCTTCTCTTTTCCCTGTTTTACAATCCTTACAGGTAGCCAAGGTGTTATGGTGGTACTACTTCTCCAAATTAATAGAGTTCCTGGACACAATTTTCTTTGTTTTGCGGAAAAAAACCAGTCAAATTACTTTTCTGCATATTTACCATCATGCCTCTATGTTTAACATCTGGTGGTGTGTTTTGAACTGGATACCTTGTGGGCAAAGTAAGTGATTTTGTTACTTTTTCAGTTCTACATAACGGTCTTGCTGACCTCCAGGGAGCCTCTGAAGTTGGGCCAGAAGAGGGAGGGGTGCCACGGAAGAGCCCACAGTGTCTGTCGCCAGGGCAGCCCGGGCTTGCCCTGGCCAGCTAGTCTCTGGTCTTCAATCTGGAGAAATCTAAATATTACCTCAAATCTAAAAAATGTTTTCTTTTCTGTGCACCAAATGTGTGATGGTCAGAAGCACATACCCCCACTGGGGCAGTTTTACTTCCAGACGTGGGGCCGCAGGACTCATGGAAATAAATGGCACCTTCCACAGTCAGCACAAGACTGACACAGATCCAGTCATTCAGGCTCTTTGGGCTGTTTTTCCATTCTGAGAAGTTAAGGCCCTCTCAGTCTGTGGTCCCTGTCCCCAAGCTCAACGGCTTTCCGATTCTGTCTTAACTGAGTGCTACAATAGCACATTGATATCACAGCACATCCCTACGTATATATTTTGTATGAAACAAAAACATGATGAAACAATATTTAGCCTAGTTCTCTGTGATACACTGTCTGTTTTTAAACTGTTTCTCTTTCTTCACAAAGAACTGATGAACGCTCTCCCCACACCAACTGCACAGGTCACTAGTGGGTCAGTGATGACTTGTGGTATAGAGAACAGTGTTTTCTGTTTTATATTGTCTGTACTCCTAAATTTAAAAATATTCTGTGAAAAACCAGAACACGTAAAACTTAAAATGATTTTGTTCTAGAATTTAAGATCTTGTAGAGATACCATTTTTTTTTTTCTTCAGGCGAGGGGGCTGGGTAGAGATACCATTTTAAACACAAAGATATTTCAAATACATCAGTGACCGTGAAGATGTGAATCGAAACTGCGTTGTGCAGCAGGAAGTTGCTGGGGGTGCAGGGACAGAGACAGGCGCAGTTTATGCCTCTCCTAGGCTGACAGAGCCCCATCTCCTTACTCATTAAAACTCTAACAGACTTATACTGCAGCCGATATATAGACTATAATCATACCAAAGGAGAATGATCAAGGTTAAGCATTTTGGGGGATTGTCTACAGGTTCATTACCAATCACTAAGCATCTATAAAACTCATTCTCAATCACTGTGTAAAGACAAGATCCCTGCAAATAAAGTACCATGTTTGACAATTTCTGTTCAATTTAGAATATAAAAAGTGTAAGCAGCAACTACTAATTTTTCACTAATTGATGAAAATGAAAACCCAGGAGAGTAAAGAAACATCACTAATCCTGTGCTACCTGGTACTCAGAGCCTTGTACCTTTGTTTTCATATTAAATCCAAGGGCCTTAACAAGTGAGTCCAACCAGCGTTTGTTGAGGCCTTATTAGACGCATGGTGGTGTTCCATTTGTTTCCTATTCATTGATTTGCAGTTTTCTATCCAGATCTCTAATGCAGGATTGGAAAGCCAGGCTAGAGTTTACAGTGATTAAGCAGCAGTTGGGCAGTGCTTTTTAGTCATATAGTATTATATTATCTCAACTAACTCCATCAAGCCTCAAGAGATAATTAGTGTATCCATATTTCAGATGAGAAAACAAAAATTTACTATGTCAAAGTATTGTATTCAAGAGGACGTAGCTAATGGTGGGCTGGAGTGGGGAGGTTCCCCTGGCTCCAGGCTTTGCTGCTACAGGACTGGTAGCTCGGAGACCGTCGGAGACCAGCCGTCTGGATCCCAAGCTTTCACTTGAACAGCATTCACTTTGTGGCAGGTGCTGTTCTAACCACTTTGTGTATATTGATGGATTTTATTCTCACAGCAAGCTCCCTGTTTCCAACAAATAAAAACCTGTCTCTGATATCTCACCTCCTGCAGCAAAGTCCTTTTGACCCTTAGTTGACCTAGCATAGGACTTAGCCTTTTCTGCCTGGTTTCCTGATACACCACTCACCCACACTGATGGCAGTTACAGAGACCTCATGAGGATGGTGGCAGGGGACAGGGAAACAGTTCAGCACAGGTTAGCAGAGCAAATATCCTACAATTGGATGTTAGCTCTTCCTTGTCCTGAAAGTCCATGGTGTGGCCCAGGCCCCGGGATGGTCTCCCTTCAGTCCCAGCCTTCTCTTCTCCTGCTGGACCTTCTGTCGGCCCCATGTTCTCCCAACTTCCTCAGTATCTCCCAGTTCCTAGGTCCTTTTGGGTAGAATTTATTGACTTAATTATAAAAAGCAACATACTCTCCTTCACTCTTTAGCACCTTGTTCAGACAAGGTATTTTGTCAAAAGGATACCAGGTATTTTGTCAAAATAGGTAGGACATGCCAAAAACTAACTAAGCCAAAATCACAAGTACTAGTACTGAAACTTCTCTTCCTACACTCAAAATAGTTCATCAAAAGTTAACCAAAGCAAAGACACTTCTCTTTCCAAGGAATTCTGCCACTAGCTTTATCAATATTAATTTTTCTACCTGATTAGCTCATAGTAATGACCATTACAGAGACAATAAAGCCTTTGCAAATGAGGAATTACCTTGTATGGCTGGCACTGTGACTGAAAAACTATCCCACTTCACTCCGTCCATCTAGGTGACTTGTGCTGAATCCCGGGTCATGACAACAATTGGGTGAATTTCTCAGTGTGAGTTTTCTTTGAGCACCATACTGTTACTCATCTTCAGTTATAATATACAGGGAAAACCTCGCTGGATAAAGAATGAACGATCCTACTTTCTAAAGTCATTTTTATCCTGTACTTGACAGGTTTCTTTGGACCCACACTGAACAGTTTCATCCACATCCTTATGTACTCCTACTATGGCCTTTCTGTGTTCCCATCCATGCATAAGTATCTTTGGTGGAAGAAATATCTCACACAGGCTCAACTGGTATGTTACCCCTTCTTCCAGCTCTTCTCCATGTGAAGCATCTGCATATTCTCATGGATGCATGAGAGGGAATAAGAATCTTGTCTTGGAAGGCAGAGGCTTTTCTAGGTGTGATGAAGCTATTTATCTCTAAAAATGTCCTTTTAAGAACTAAAAGTTCTAAATCTTGTGTTCCAAATCGCCTTTGTGTTTACAATTAGCTGATTCCTTGCTTTGACATGTAGATGAATACTCTTTAAATTGTGTCTGTTAAAAATCATTTTTATCTGAAAAATTCACCTACTTTTTCATGAGAAAGTTAAATACAGGACAATTATATATACTTGCTAATATAATTAAAAATCAAATTTCTAGATAGGATAGTGGGCTGCTTCAGTATTTTCTTTTTTTTATTCCTGCAAAATTTGGGGAGTAATAGTTGATTTCTAATAAATGTATAAAACATGAGAGTGGTTTTGACGTGGCTCGGCTGGGTCCCACCTGGTGACACCCTCTCCGCCGCCCTGCAGGTCCAGTTCCTGCTCACCATCACCCACACCATGAGTGCCGTTGTGAAACCCTGCGGCTTCCCCTTCGGCTGTCTCATCTTCCAGTCCTCTTACATGCTTACATTAGTTATCCTGTTCTTAAATTTTTATGTTCAGGTAAGTGAAATGTAAGTACATATTCAGTGGCAAAACATAATAGACCATGCACATTTGCATCATATATTTAATTTTACCAAATAAGTATTAGCACGTGCTTGTTGATAAATTCAAATAGTAGGGGTACACAAAGCAAAAAGTAAAACTTTTAATTCCTAACTCTTCTCCCCACACCTTTCCCCTCAAAGGATAACTGTTGTTAATAGTCCAGTAGGTATTCCACTGAACATTTTTCAATACATACATATAAAATTTAATTTTACACTTAATTTACATATAAAAGTTACATTTGTATCACATATTTGCACCATGCTAGGAAAGTCTTATATCTGAAAGTTAAAACATTGTACATAGAAGAGAGATCCAGGAAGTTTTAACTGGAGAAAAACGTGGACTAAACGAACTTAATATTAAAAAATGTCTTCTATATCAGCTACTGTGATGTAAAGTCACTATTTTTGTTTTTTGTGGAAAAATTCTTTTAAAGCAAACCAGTGGTGAGGTCACATTGATTTGTCCTTCACTGTCATTTTCTTTTTAATTGACAATTTAAATGGGAGAAAGCTGCCAAATGCAGTTTCAAAGCGCTCTGTCAAATAAGATCCCATGAATGCCAGAACCAAGCACAAGCCTCAGGTAGTTGTAGATTTAACTTATTCTCCGTGGTGGGCTGGGGAAATAGTTCCATAAAAAAAAAAATGAGAATGTACATTTATATTCAAAACGGTATTTTTGAAACTGTATTGAACTGTTCTCTTCTTCAGACCAACAAGAAGTGCTTTCTTATTTTTTGTTGAAAGTTAATCCGTTGTGGTTTTAAACAAAGTACAATTGTGGGAACAGCACTTTTGACAGCATTTCAGGCTGTGTTTCTGAAACTGGACTGGCAAGGCTTTGTCTTTTATAAAAGATGAAAGTTTCCTTTGAGAATTTTGAGAGAACTAACCATTGATGGAACCAAACAAAGCTCCCCGCCACCCCACCCAGCACGCACACACACACAGCTGGCTGTTAAAGGAAAGAGGGAGCTTGGTGTTGAAACTTGAAGAGAAGCTATAACCTAGCAGAGGTGGGTATTGGGCACTCACAGCTTTGCCCCTACATGCTGGTTCAAACTGGATCTCAGTCCTTTAGAGTTGAATATATAATTTCAGTCTTGACCCTTGTTACTGCACATGCACACACGTGCGTGCACATGCACACACAGGTGAAAAGGATACCAGATATTTTGTCAAAATAGATAGGACATGCCAAAAACTAAGTAAGCCAAAATCACAAGTACTAGGATTTTAAAAATAACAGTACTTTTTCACTTGAATTGTACTTTTTAAAAATGTTATCCTGTCCAAGCAAGCAACTAATGCAGAATAATTTCAGTGCTAATCTGATAATACATAAATCCTAGCCTAATGTAGAGAAGGTGAAAGAAATGACCTGTCATTGGAATTCATGCACTTGTCTTAGTTTTTACCCTATTTTTATTTTTTAACCAGAAGCTTAAAAACTCATATTATAAGCAATTCTTATTATAAAGTCCAATACCAAAGAAAATCATAAATTGTTTTAGATTCTATGTCACATTAGAGACAAGGTCTTACTGAAGAATCCTTTTTTCTTTCCTTTTCTCTTCCAAATATACAAATCCCAGACATACCGAAAAAAGCCAGTGAAGAAGGATAAGGAAGAGCCACCTGCATGGAAAGAAGTGAATGGTTTTTCCAAAGCCCACTTCACTGCAACTAATGGAGTGATAAACAAGAAAGCACAATAAACATGGAGTAACCGACACGCATAAGTAATAGCCTAACAGATTCGCTTGTTTTAAAGCAAAGACTGAATTCAAAGTTACATATGTTTTAGCATAAACTAATTTCTTTTGAGTTTATAAATCATTTGTACCTAGAATGTGTCAATACGTTGCTGTTAGGTCACCTGTAACTGAATGCTTCAGTCAGCACCGCGGGGCACCTGCGCGACCCGTCCCCCCTTCCTGCGGGCAGACTGGACCCCTCACCAGAAACTGTCTTTTTAACGCCTTACACACAAAGCCAGGAAACCTGGAACTTTACTTTTCTCAGCAAGTCTTCAAATAAAACGTTAAGGGTTTTGTTCAGATTAAAATGTTTAAAACAAAACATTAACTGTCTTCTAAATGCAGGAAGCATCCCAATCTATATTAAGCAATAATTGCCAGTGCATAATGTAATTGGTCCATTTGTTTCTTTAGGAACCAACCCCCAAAAAATATTAAAATGGGATCATAAAAGGTCGAAAAACCTAGCTAGAATGTCAAATTCCCACATTAATTCTAATTCTTAGTGTACGGTGATAAAATTTGTATGTTTCCATTTTGAAGATTAGTTTTTCTATGAAGAAAGCATCTTCTGCCAAATCCTCACAGCTCAGGGGCTTTGGATAGGAGTTGTTCCTTGGTTTTCATTTCATTTCTCTATTCGCATGTTCGCGCCTTCCTCCCATGTTAAGTCACCCAGCGGTAGGATGTGGGCAGATGGCATGCTCAGTTTCAAGCAGGATCAAGATCTGGCTGCCCGCTTCCTTTCTGAATAGGGACCCAAGTCGTCCTCCTTTTCCTGTGAATGGTACGCCGCCAGAATATCAATCAGAACAGAGCGGTGGGGGCAAAACAGACACTGAGTTTGTAACTGCTTGTGAGCCTGCTTGTGAGCATCTGCCCCAAGTACCTGATATCACTCTTTGCAGGTTAAGTTTTTGAAAACAGGAAGAGAAAGACTTGAGGACCGTGGAAAGATTCCAACACTGAGCCGCAGCTGGCGATGGGCCCCAGGGAGAAGTGCCCCTTCAGCAAGAATGGCTCCACCCTTCCCCTCTCAGGGAATGTTGGGCGCAGACGCTGAGCGGCCACAAGACTAAGTCCTTGCACCTAGGTATTGGACTGCTACTTATTATTAAGTTGTAGAAGGAATGGAAACTATATTTTCTGAAGATCTGATGAAGATTTATACCCTGTATTATTTATACTCAAAACAAGACTTGCCAACTTTGACACTTTTTCTTTCCTTCCTTTTTAAATAAGTTTTAGGTCATGATGTTGCCATCAGACGCATCGGTGCCCAAGGGCATTGTCACCGTGGCCCCAGCACATTACAGTCTGGTCAGCAGTGCCTTTCTGTCCTTTTTTTTTTTTTTTTTT